AATTTACTCTACTTCGATTTAAGGTCAAATCCGAACATCGGCACTGATAACTTAAAAGGTCGAATTCGAACCTTGGCACTAGTAAATAAAGATAACGCTCTATTTATAGGCATCAGGCCGCAGCCAGAACGGCCTATTCGAATCCGGAATAGCCCGTTCTGATCCCGTAGAACACGTACAAAAGCCTCTCTAAGAACGGCCCGTTCTGGGGTTTCCGGAACGGCCCGTTTCAATGTGGAACGGCCCGTTCTGAATCAAACTTTGTTCTTTTAAAATCACATCCGGAACGGCCCGTTCTGGGTTGAAATTTAACTCATGTAGCTCGAGTTGGAACGGCCCGTTCCCAAAGTGGAACAGTCCGTTTCGTGGCTATAAAAATTCATAATTGCTAATTAATAAATAATTAAATAACATATATATATATATATCAAATTAAAGTAAAATATCAATACAAATTAAAACATGATTTTCTTCAAATAATAATTATAACAAAATATCATAATTAATAATATTATACAAAATAATTTTCGTAAATGATTATTATTAAAAACCTTTAAAAATTCAATCAAACTCATTTAATTAATCATAATAATTATAAGGAAATAATCTTCATAAATACAAAAAAAATTAATAATTATTCATAGTATTAGTAGAAAAATTCGGGGTGTTACAATTCTCCCCTCCTTTTAAAAATTTCGTCCCCGAAATTACCTCAAAATATCATAATTAATAATATTATACAAAATAATTTTCATAGATGATTATTATTAAAAACCTTTAAAAATTCAATCAAACTCATTTAATTAATCACAATAATTATAAGGAAATAATCTTCATAAATACAAAAATAAATAATAATTATTCGTAGTATTAGTAGAAAAATTCGGGATATTACAATTACAAGAGTAGAAATTACAAATATATAGAGGTAGGTAGCTTAAGGAGCAAGCTAACCTTAACCATGGTTCACTAGGAACCATGGTAAGGTTAGTTGATCTTCCAAGTGAGTTTAGAAACTTGTGGAGCAAGCTTCTCACTTAGCTTGCTTGGGAAGCAAGCTAAGGAGAAGCTTGTAGCACAAGCTTCTCAATGCTTTGAGAAGGGATAAGCAATTCGGCCAAGACAAAGAGCTAGGCAAAGGTGGGCGGCCAAGGTCCTATTTTGTTCACTTTGATTATTTCAAAAATGTTTGATTTGGTTTAGTTAGGTTCATCCAATGATGATGAGACTTAGCTAAATCAAATCTATGAAAAATTAGGAGCAAAATGAGTCTAATATGTAAAATTTTGCTTAGGCCCAATTACTAGTCACACCCTCAAGCATTGCTAAATGTCACCCCACTTCTACTACTGGAAAAATAGAAAATAAGTGTATGAACAAAGGAGGTTAAATGGAGTCAAACTCTCCAAGTAACCCACCCTAGAATCAATATACAATGATTAATAAAAGAAACTAAAGTGCCTCACAAATACAAAGGTAAAAATAAGCCTATACAAGAGAACTATGTACAAGATATTTACAACTAGAACTATGTCTTCTCTTCATGATAGTGGTCCAAATTGAAGAGTACCTTGGGCTTTAGAAAGCCCACTGATCTTCAAGGTGTCCACTGGTCTTCCAGGTGGCCATAGCTCTAGTGATTGGGCCCTTAGCCCATGGTCCATCATCCCATTTCTCTTAGTTCCTTCAATGTATTACCTTTTGGATTCCTTGGCCTGTCTTCTCGATCTCATCTCTGGTTGCATCCTTCATACAAGAATGAAAACATTATTATACCATACCTCAGAAGTTCAGACATTCAAAATCAAGATTTTAAATGACTCTCATGGTACATATCACTTCACCTTTCGCAATGGCTTGTTGTTCTTCAAAGATCGAATCTATGTTCCTAACATTTCCATCGTGCGTCAAAAACTTCTTCATGAATGTCATGGCATCCCCAATTGGCCATTCTAGTCTAAAGCCTACTCTTTGTTGATTGATGACTTCTTTTTACTGGCCTAAGATGGTTGGGACATCCGTTCCTTCATTTGTCAGTGCACCACCTGACAATACTACAAGTACCCACCATAAAAACCAATGGGATTATTACAACCCCTGTAATATCCTAAGAGAGTTTGGGAGAACATCTCCATGGATTTTATTACCCTTCATCTGTGTTCTCATGGACATACAACAATCTAAGTAATTTGTGACCGTCTGAGTAAGTTTGCCCATTCTTTGGCACTCCATACCACTTTTGTTGCTACTCCACTTTCCCAACATTTAGTGGTTGAGATTTACTGCCTCCATGAGGTACCTAAGTTAATTGCATCTGATCGGAACCATTATTTGTTAGTGCTTTTTGGAAAGACGAAGAGATGTTACCTTTGTTGAAGGGGATTGGGTTCTTCTTTGCCTCCAACCGTATCGACAATCCACCATGCACAATTGTGTATCTCACAAGCTCAATTGTAATTTCGTGGGCCTATTTCAAATCCATCGTTGCATAGGGTCTGTCGCATACAACCTAATCCTTCCCTCGACCTCCAAGATTCACCTTGTCGTCCATATTTCTAAGCTCCGACCATATAAATGCCTCATTCCTCCATTGTCTATCCAACCATTACCTCCTAACTTTCCTAGTTCCATAAACCTAAATGACTATTCCCATGTTCAAACCCCAATTGATAACATCCCACCTAACTCACTTCCTATTTCCTCGTCATCTGCCACAACCCACATGCCTTCATTTAAATATTTATTATCTAAGAAATGTCAAAAATCATTTAAATATTAAATAACTAAAATATTTCATATTTATTATTTTTTACAAATATTTTAAGTCGTTATTATATCGAGTCTCGACCTTATTACAATATCATTTATGAGTAGTTGAACATTATTAACATTATATGATGTTTTATTTAAAAAATTATTGTTATATGACATTTAATGTTTTTTAATAAACTGTTCTCTAGTGAATTAATTATTAAAAGCTTAAAATTGGTTCTTCATTTGTATAATATTTGTCATTAAGAACTTTGATAAGAACATCACTATGTCATTGAGTATTGAGAGAATTAGTACGGTATTTGCTTTGAATTTGTATTCTATATGATGCAAGTTTGACACTTTCTATGATAACAAATCTTATTTTGTTAGACACATCTACTCAAGTAAATTCTATTAGTGTCCATAAATTTGATTTTAGTAGACATATTTACATAAAGAGATTTTTTTGACACCAAAGGTGAAATTCCTCTAGTGAAATTTTGTTGGCTCTCAGTCAAAGTCCTGAAACAAATTGGGACACTACTTACTTTTAACGAATTACTAAGACAACAATACTTAATATGACCATCTTCATCATATTATTGATCCCATGTCCAATAATCATAAAGTATCATCTCTTATCTAGCTTGACTCCTTACTCATAGTAGTCATTTCTAAAATTAGAATGACCAATATAGAAGAATTTTTTCTATCTAACTATATATTAATGGTGTAAATTATTAATTGACTTTATCACTAACTAATTTGATGAGTCACATTTAATAAAATTTTTACTCTCAGTTACAATTTATTTATTTATTTATTTTTATGTACAGAACTCGAGACCTTCATCGGTGATATAAAATATAATACCATTTAAATTAATAAATTGTGTGTACACAAAAGCCTTTTGGTTACTAAGAATATTGCAAACCAAAAATTATTCCGAATTTTCATCCATCTGTCTTAACATTTTAAAGACCAACTTTAACTTCTAGTGATTTGTCTACATAACCATAACGATCCCATAAAAACGAGATAAAACGGTAGAAAGACAAAATCTCATGTCAAATGTTCATCATTTAAAAAATGTTTAATTATTTTTTTTCATATAATTTCATAAACATCATCATTTAATCTCTATTGTTAAGAATATTTCATTTTAGCTTTTATTCATAGCATCTGTCATCTATTTTTATACGTACTAAAGGAAAAAATTTATACATCTATAAGGATTAAAACTAAAAAGTTATGCAACTATAAAAATTAAAAATAAAATAAAATAAATATAAAACTTTTAATTATGAAAGTCAAAATAATAATTTAGATGTAAATTAATGCACATTCAAATAGGCTCGATGAAACTCCAAGCGTGTAGTTTAGTGATAGGGATTGATCCACCTTTAAGTAAGGTCAGGGGTTCGAATCCTGCCTTGTGTATGCAGTCGCGTTAAATCTTGGGGTCAGCTATCCCACCCTTTGAGGTGTCTTCCTCGTAACGATGAAATTAGTCACTACTATCGATAGATACTCCAAGAAAAAAAAAAAAAAAAACAGGCTCGATGAGGTGCATGCCCAAATCACTAAGGCATGTTTAGATGTCCATCCAAAATTCATATCCAAATCAGGATTACATCATTCAACAATAAAATTACCCTTTATTATTTGGTTCCAAATCAAAACCCACTAAATTATTAAAAAAAAAATAACCATTTTTTGATTTTTATAACAAAACCAAAGTGTAACTGTATTTTTTTTTCAGCAACCTTTATACAAGTATTTATTCCCCAAATTACATAATCGATCAACAGTATCTCTCATGTTTGAAGTCTCTCACGAAATCCCAGTTCGAAACATCCAGTCACATTATCACTCAGCGCCCTTATTCCCTCTCTCTGTTCGTTTTCATTTCTCAATTTTTTAATAAAATTTTGTTTTTATTTACTTAATATTTTTTAATCTCAAATACCATATTATTAATCATACTCATACATCTCATTTGATTTTCAGTTAATTTATATATCATAATTAATATATATATCTGCTATAAAATAAAAATATATATATTAAAATTATTTTATAAAAAATAAAAAACTATATTTTTCTATTTATGTAAAACAATCTTATCTATATCTATTATAAAGAAAAAATAAAATAAAATTTATTTTTAAATAATTATTTTAATCTCTAATTTTTTTAGATTTTTTTATCCATTCGATTATACAATATTTTCTTATAAATAAAGGTTAAAATAAAGAAAACATGTATAAAAAATATTACAACCATCAGTATAACTATTAAACACAAAAAATTATAATCATTTGTTTAACTATAGATATACAAAATGTTTTACCCTCTCTAATATATATTGTACCTGCCGAAGGGTACACTAGTAATCTTCTCGTGTTCTGGGGGCCGAACGACAGCTCCGATCGAATACTCCGGTAAAGGGGAGGTACCTGCAAAAGGCACTCCGATGCTCAAGTCAGGACAAAGCACAAATATCGATAGCAATTAATGAACAGTGACGTTACCTTGTGACATGAGCTATTTATACTGACCCTTATGGGCCCGGATTCCCATGGGCCCTGCACAAGATTACCATATTAGGTAATACGCCTCTAATCGGCTTATTAGTGTGATTAACTCTTAACCCTTGATTAAGGATGACTCTTGTCCCTTGATTAATGATAATTCACATTCACTAGGTATCTAATGGCCGATCAGCCGTCAGCAACCTGGTTCGGCCCTTTGGGTGCCGGTTGGATGTCGGCAACCTGGTTCGGCCCTTTAGGTGCCGATCGGGTATCGGTCAACTGGTGGCCGAAAGGCCTTGCCAGTACATATATTAATAGATAAAATGAATACGTCATCCCGTAATTATTTTTCGTTTCTATAATTATGGAGAATTATATCTTTAATTCCTAAAAAAATTATTTATTTTACTTTTTCTCTAGTCTATTATAAAGAAGATCTAGAGGATATATAATTGTTTTTCTTCTCTATTTTTTTAAGTCAATTATTATACTCCTCACATATAAAAAAAAAAAATTCTTATATTTCCTCTAAATTTCTGAACACAACTTTTTAATCTGTTCATCACTGTTAGAAACATGAAATGATTTAGAAGGTTGATACATATTTAAAAAAAAAAAAAAAAACCAACTGAAATAACATTGCATAAACCCGTGTTTCCATCTTCAAACATACAAACACGCATACAAAAAAAAAAAAAAGCAGAATTACCGAAGGTCAAACGGCGGCGTTTAGCGTTTTCAAGACTTGGAAGCTTCTAGATCCGCGGCCTTCTGCAAGAGACTGTGGGGGTCGTCTTCGAGGACCATCTGGATGGGGAAGGACCCCAAGCCGTCGGCGATGGCCAGCATGATCTTCTTCATCTCCTCCCGGAACTCGCCGCGGTCCACGGCGCCGCTCCGGTCGCCGTCGAACTTCTGGAAGATGGAGTCGTAGAGCGCGGCCAGCTGCTCCGGCGGCGTGGCCACGTCGATGCCGAAGTGCGACTCGATGAGGCGCATGGACTGGAACGCCGTGCGGAGCTCCGACCGCGAGAGGACGCCGTCGTTGTTGAGGTCGAGCGCCGCGAACTGCTCGTCCACGCTCTTGGCGAACGCCGCCTCGTCCCGCACGAAGTCGCGCACGGTGGTGCCGTCGATCACGACCACGCCCATTGTCGCGGTGGAACGCTGGAGAGGGATGTCGTTTTGGGAAGTGGCTTTTGTAGTTGGAGTTTGGGGATTGGGTTGGGGGAATGGGAATTGGTTCGATTGACACGTTGAGGAAGCTTGTACATTCGATTATGTGTCGTCAACGGGTGAGTTTTATTTATTTATTTATTTATTTATTTATTATTATTTTTGTCTTGGGAAATCTATGGACAGCACGGGTTTTGGTTTGGTTGGTGACTTTGTGGGCTAGGAGGTTAGATATTTTGAAAGAGCTACTGTATTATGGATATAATAATTGCATCAATCATTTTCAATTACAAAACTAGGGGTGAGAAAACAATTGAATGACAAGATGGGACAATCTTGTTGGCTTAGGGTTTATTAAAATCGGGTTGGATTGTGGTGGACTACTAAATAAAATCGGGTTAAATCTTTAGATTTGTCATCCAAATAAAAATAGGTTGGTTGTCTTACTTCATTTGTCTAAAGGTTGATTGACGAGTTAATTTATTGATTTGTCAAAAAAATTTGAAACAAAATAAAAAAAAAATATAAGTTTGGATATTTATTTAGAATACTTTTTCAACATATTTCTTTATCCATGTATGTTCGATTCATATAAACTAATGTACTTAAATAATGAAACAAATTTTAAATTATAATTGATTTAGTCTAATTTATTACTGAACAAATTTTAAATTTGGTGCATAATCAAATGGATATGTAATTATAAAACTTAAATGTATTTTTGATTCTTCTAGTATAACAGTTGTGTGATTTTAGTTTATTAAATTTCAATGGCAAAAATATATTTTTTTATCTCTTATATTATTTATTAGATTTAATTTAGTCTCACTTTAATTAATTGAATCAATTTAATTTTACATCTTTAAAATGTATTTCAATGTTTGATTTTTCGTCTTCTCCATTTAAATACTTAATAGATGTGACACGTATCATGCCATGTGGTATGATAGCATGACACATGACATGATAGCATGTCATGTGGCATGACATGACACATGACATGATAGCATGCCATGTGGTATGACAACATGACACGTGTCATATCCATTAAGTATTTAAACAAATGGGACAAAAAATCAAACATTGAAATATATTTTAAAGATGTGGGATTAAATTGATTCAAATAATTAACGTGAGACTAAATTGACACTAATAAATAATATAAGAGACAAAAAATATATTTTTGTCAATTTTAATTAAAAAATTTTAATCTCTCAAGTATTGTTGTACATTTTTAATATCTTAATTTTTAATTGACTAATTTTTGTCTCTAAAGTATTAAAAATTGATAAGCCAAGATTAAATGCCACAAAGATTAGCTTCCTTGATAAGTTTTGGTGAATTCTTTCAAGAACCCTAGCCAATAAAATCTTCCGAGTAATATGCTTTTACATCAAAATCTAATATGATTATGGTTAGAAGCGTTTTTATGTGGTCACAACCCAAACAACTAGGTTTAGTAAAACCCCAAATTTATCTAACTAACCCAATTACAAACTAAAGCTTATTTAGAAATTAAAAAAAAAGGACTTAATCTAAATAAAATAGAAACTAAAAAAAAGTACACTTTTATGATCTTTAATTTGAATGCAACAAGTTATCTTGGACTCCTTTAATAATAAGAAAAGAAGATAGCATGTGAACAGAGAATCGATACTTTGTTAAGAGTCACATGGTATGTGGTAGAATACATATAACCCCACTCACCCAATAACAAACTCACAACCTATTTTCCAACTCAGATACATAAAAAAAAAAAGATAAGAAAACTAAAGTTGAGTGAGTTATGATCACTGAGTGGACGATGTGGGATTATCACCAACTTCCTCTATTTCTCTTTGCTGAGCTAATACCCCCCCCAAGCTCGAGGGCGATAAATGTCTATCATCCCAAGCTTGGCCAAAAGATCAAGAAACACCCTTGGTCCACATGCCTTGGTAAAAAGATTAGCAATTTGATTCTTGGACGAGATTAGAAGAAGATGCATCAGACCATCTTGCAACTTCTCTTTAAACACATTATAGTCAATGTCTAAATGTTTTGTTCTCTCATGAAATACAGGATTAGCTACTATATGCAATGCACTTTGATTGTCCAATACAAAACAAAGGTACGACTAGGAGTTTGATGAAGATCATTGACCAAAAATGTAAGCCATTGTAGCTTCCTAACTATGACAACTAAAGCTCTGTATTCAGCTTCAGAAGAAGAACATGACACAATAGGTTGTTTCTTTGATTTCCAAGCAACAAGTGAGTGTCCAAGAAAGAAACAATACCTGAAAATTGAGCGTCGT